TGCGATTTATTGAATTTTTTCTCATGAGCGCAAAATTTCTGTTTTTCAGCAGAATCAAATCAACTATCATCATAGGTTATCCTATAGGTTCTACTTGGCACAAACACTAAATAAAACATGAAAACACATCTAAACATAAATTAGATGCAAAATTTATTACTAAACAGGAACAAAAAAAACACAAAGAAAATTGGGTTGCCTCCCAACTAGCGCTATCATTTAACGCCCCTAGCTAGGCATAAAAGCGAAGATAGATCTAAGTAGTGCCATCTTTGGCACTTGATTCATAGGTAGCTCGCATGATAGATTCATGAGGTAATTTGACTTTATTTCTTTGAAAGTGCTCCATGCCTTTCTTTAATGGAAATTGGAATCTAATATTCCCTTCCTTCATATCAATAATCGCACCAATCGTTCTAAGAAAAGGTCTACCAAGAATAATAGGGCAAGAAAGATTGCAATCTATATCAAGAACGATAAAATCAACGGGCACCAAATTTCTAATTGCAACAATTAGAACATCATTGATTCTTCCCATTGTATTTTTAATGGTGGAATCCGCAAGGTGCAAATTTAAAGAGCAATCATCAAGATCATGGAAACCTAGAATGTCACATAAAGTTTTCAGAATCGTGGAAACACTAGCACCCAAATCACACAAAGCAAAACACTCATAGTCTTTGATTTTAATATTTATAGTAGGTTCCCACTCATCATTAAGTTTTCTAGGTATAGAAACTTTCAAATTAAGTTTTTCATCAAAATATTGCATCAAGGCATCAACAATATGTTTGGTAAACGCTTTATTTTGACTATAAGCATGAGGAGAATTAACAATGGATTGTAACAAGGAAATACAACTTTCTAAAAAACAATTACCATAATCAAATTCCTTCAAATCCGAGATAGTGGGTTCAATACTATTTAAAGTCGTGACCTCTCCAATCCCACTTTTACCAAATTTAGCATCAAGATCTAAAAACTCCGAATTCTTGGGACGCCTTCTAAATAAAGTTGACTCTTCTCCAGTCCCATTATTATCAAGATTCATATTGCAAAACAAAGATCTAATAGGGGACACATTAATAACTTTAAGATCTTCATCATTATTTTCATGGAAACTAGAAGAACACGCCTTTACAAAGCTATCTTTCTTAGCACACAATCTAGCGGTTCTTTCTTTGCATTCGTCAATGGAAATTCTCATAGCTTTGAGAGACTCATTGATATCATGCTTAGGAGAAGAAGATTTAAGTTTAAGAGAATCAACATCAAGTGAAAGTCTATCAATGTTCCTAGCCAAATCATCAACTTTGAGCAATTTTTCTTCAAGCAAAGCATTAAAATTATTTTGAGAGACCATAAATTCTTTCACACTATTTTCAAAATCAGAGGGCATCTTATTAAAATTACCATAAGAATTATTGTAGGAATTTCCATAATTATTAGAGAGATTGCTAGGGAACGGTCTAGGATTAAAGTTTCCTCTATAAGCATTGTTTCTAAAATTATTCCTACCAACAAAATTTACATCCATAGATTCATTATTATTATCAATCAAGGTAGATAAAGGCATATCATTGGGATCAATAGAAGAACTCTTAGTAGCAAACAATCTCATAAGCTCATCCATCTTTCCACTCAAAACATTAATTTCTTCTATAGCATGCACTTTTTTACTAGTAGATCGTTCGATGTGCCATTGAGAATAATTAGCCATAATATTATCAAGAAGTTTTGTAGCATCTCCTAAAGTGATTTCCATAAACGTGCCTCCAGCGGCCGAATCTAAAAGATTTCTAGAAGCAAAGTTTAATCCGGCATAAAAATTTTGTATGATCATCCATAAATTCAAACCATGAGTAGGGCAATTGTGAATCATCAATTTCATTCTTTCCCAAGATTGGAAAACATGCTCATGATCAAGTTGTTTAAAATTCATAATATCGTTCCTAAGGGAGATGATCTTAGCGGGAGAAAAATACTTAGAGATAAAAGCATCTTTGCACTTGTTCCAAGAATCAATACTGTTTTTAGGCAAAGATGAAAACCAAACATTAGCACAATCTCTAAGTGAAAACGGAAATAACTTCAATTTAACAATTTCATTCTCTGGATCTTTTTCTTTTGCATCTCACACAAATCAACAAAGTTGTTTAGGTGGGTAGCAACATCTTCACTAGGAAGGCCGGAGAATTGATCTTTCATAACAAGATTCAGCAAAGCAGCATTGATTTCACAATACTCAACATCATTAAGAGGAGCAATCGGAGTACTAAGGAAATCATTATTATTGGTATTAGAGAAATCACACAATTTGGTATTATCTTGCGCCATAGCAACAAGTAATCCAACACACAAGCAAACAGAAAAAGGCAAGCAAAAGAGAGAGGAATAAAAAGGCAAGCGGAAAAGGGAGAAGATTGGGAAAGAGAGGGCAAATAAAATGACAAGGGTGAAGTGGGGGAGAGGATAACAAGAGGCAAATGGCAAATAATGTAAATGCAAGGGAGATGAGTTTGTGATGGGTACTTGGTATGTCTTGACTTGAGCGAAGACCTCCGCAGCAACGGCGCTAGAAATCCTTCTTGCTACGTCTTGAGCTTGCGTTGGTTTTCCTTGAAGAGGAAAGGGTGATGCAGCATAGTAGCGTAAGTATTTCCCTCAGTTTTTTGAGAACCAAGGTATCAATCCAGTAGGAGGCTCCTCACAAGTACCACGAACCTACACAAACAAACAAAGAACTCGTAATCAACGCGATAAGGGTTGTCAATCCCTTCACGTCCACTTGCAAAAGTGAGATATGATAGAGATAATATGATAAGATAAATATATGTTTGGTATTTTATAATATAGATGCAGAAAATAAAGATGCAAATAAAAGTAGATCGAAAGCTTATATGATAAAGGATAGACCCGGGGCCATAGGTTTCACTAGAGGCTTCTCTCAAGATAGCATAAGTATTACAGTGGGTGAACAAATTACTGTCGAGCAATTGATAGAAAAGCGAATAATTATGAGATTATCTAGGCATGATCATGTATATAGGCATCACGTCCGTGACAAGTAGACCGACTCATGCCTGCATCTACTACTATTACTCCACACATCGACCGCTATCCAGCATGCATCTATAGTATTAAGTTCAGAAGAACAGAGTAACGCATTAAGAAAGATGACATGATGTAGAGGGATAAACTCAAGCAATATGATATAAAACCCATCTTTTTATCCTCGATGGCAACAATACAATACGTGCCTTGCAACCCTTTCTGGGTAAGGACACCGCAATATTGAACCCAAAGCTAAGGACTTCTCCCATGGCAAGAAAGATCAATCTAGTAGGCCAAAGCAAACTGATAATTCCAAGAGACTTGAAAAGATAACTCAATCATACATAAAAGAATTCAGAGAAGATTCAAATATTATTCATAGACTTGTAGAGTGCCTGTGCGTTGTCACGGGCTCTTGAAATAGTTTGCAAAAGTTACATATTAAATTTCAAATGGACAAACAATATAACACAAACACAATTATTGAATAATTGAAGCCAATTTTTGCAATGTAAATTGACAAAAATAAAAGATTAACGACATGTCCATATAACAAACTGAGTGATGTTCCAACTAAACATCTATTACAAAACTATCACTATCTAGATGATGCGCTTAAGATATTCATTAGTAGAACGCCCGTGCGTTGCTATGGGCATACAAATGATTAAGGTCGTCTACGAGGTCGAAACTCATTTCTCCCTCATACGTCCGGGTGTGTTCGGACATCACACGGGCACCCAGCGGCCTCCCCAAAATTCAACATCGACAGTTCAGGCTCATCCAAATCTAACCCATGTGTGGGGGAGAAATGTGACTGTCCAGACTATCCCATGTTATCCCCAAACGCGGTCCCAACACAAAAACCCCATCCCACGAAGCACCCTTCACTTTTCCTGCCGGACCCTCCACTTCCTGCTCGGTTTCTCGCTGTACGGGACATTTCTCGCTGGAGCCCTCGCCTTGAAAACCGGATGACACCCACCTCACCTTGGCCATGTCGCTCTCTCTCCTTCACACCGCACTTCCCCACAGACAGCCAAGGAGAAATCCACCACCAACCGCCCCGCTCTCCGCCCTGATCCTCTCCCCCCGTGTTCGTGCTGATCCGCCATTGCCATCAAGGGGGGGAGGCGTGCTCCAGCAACATTGCAGACATATGCATCTCCTCATTTCCTCAAGCAACAGCCAACCATGGCGCTTCTCCATTTCTGAAGCAAGTTAATATGATAGAATCAGGAATAAATCTATAATTATCTCCATTTCTGAAGCAAGTTAATCTGAATGATATTTGAGGCTAGTATGGATCGGAGTGACATATATGACTGAAATAATGTAACAAAGCTATGCATATTCATGTGGATCACGAAATAGATCAGAAGTGCCGTATTTCAATGTCAGCAAATGGACGTGCAAATTTTGTGCAGAGTCACGTTTGGTTCTGCAAGATCTAAAGGGAAAAAAATACAGTGAGAGGCTCACGCTGCTGCTGCAGGCTAACGTACCTTGAGGAGGCACTGGATTCGGGCTTGGAGGAGGACGTCACGGGAGAACGATGTCCGGGTCGTTGGATGTCCGCGCCACCAGGGGTCTCCTCTTCCTCCTTTTTTTGAGAAGAATAAATAATTGGCGTCAAGCACAAGATCAAAAAAAATAAGTCTGACGGGAGACAAATCAAACACCCTGGATAGCATCTTTTCGGTGGCCCAAGAATTGATCTAATTAAACACAAGCACGCAAATATCATGAATAGCACCTTTCGCTCTCGCCATTGCAGCGCAAGCAGCGGCCGCCCTCAGGCACGCGCGCGTTCGCTCGCTTGACAGTCCCCACGGCCGCGCTCGCCTTGGCCCTCGACCATGGCCGACTCCTTGGTTCGAGTCGGCACACAGCCAATGCACGACGACATCTCTTGGCGGGCTACTAAAGCGGCGGCCATCGGCCGCTCACAGCGCACCACCCGCGCACGGCTCTCGGCGGCGGTGTAAAGGCCCTTTGCGGCCGCAGGTGAAAGTTACTCCTTTTGATCCCCTCTCGATCGCCCATCTCAAGAGTCTCGATTTTTCAGGGGATGGATCTGCGGTGGCGTGCGGCTTCTGAAGGGGAACGGCGTCGGATCCTGGACGTGATCGGCGGCTGGTCCTGAACGGGGTCGGCGGCGTCTCCTGAAGTGGATCGTCCGATGGAGGGCGGCGGCTTTGATGGGCGAGGGCAGCGGTGAAGGCATGGAGCGGCGGTGGCGAAGGGACGAAGGGCGGCGGCGGGCGAACGAGGGCAGAGAGTCTGCATGCGAGTGTTTCTAGAGACCATATATAAGAACCTACATCACATAAGCAAGCAATCATAAACTGCCCAACAGATTAATAGGATAAAGTACATTCGAATAACCAAAGTCACATACCTTCCGACAAGAAGTTGTACTTCCATCCAGCGTCATGGTGCCTAGTTGAATTGCTTCCAAGCTCTGGCCGCGATGAGAAGAGACTGATATGAAGCAGAGCAGGCAAAACTTGTCTTGCCGACATATGCATAACTGAAACAAGTAGGTTGAATCATAGATGAAAACCAAGAAAAACAGAAAGTTTGAATAATGTGGCCTCGACCCTCAGAACAACGAGGAGAACCTCGACGCAGAGTATAACAAAACATGTCCCCTACACATGCGATGCACGGGAGGATGGCGACAGCCCCGACGCAACCACACACGGGAAGAATGCGGTGTTTCAGGAGACAGTGTTACGCGATGATATGAAACTCGCGTTGCAGCATCCACCTCAATCTCCCAACTTCGGAAAATATTTGTCTCGATTCAAGATTACAACCACAATATAATTCCATGCAATAACTATTCGGCAATTTCCTGTCTGTTTCCGAGACACATGCCATATAGCAAATCAAGAACCTACGTTCTGATTAATGTTATGCAAGTAAACAATAAATACAAAGTTGAACACAAGGGCCTGGATGTGAAATACATTTAATCAAATTGAATTTATTTAAAAGTACTTATTATATGGCCACAGTATCTTAAAGCCGTATTGAGCCTCTGACTACTCAGGCACTCACCCATCTCATGTCTACTTCTTATCGGATGGACTTCGACCTTTCTGATTCAAACAACTCATCTAGAACGTTGTTTACCTAACCCCAGTACATGTAGATGCGCACTTTAGGTTACTAATAATTTTTCAAATATAGGAGCCTCTAGAGAACATGAAAATAATGGAGGAGAGGAGAGATAAAACCAAATTGCAGTCCAGGTACAGTACGAACTTACCTGGGCAGGTGCTACAGCCTGCGAGGCATTGCACCCAGGGCATATCTTGATGCCTCTGCTCCTGATCGCCTCCAGGAACTTCTCCAGCGTGTAGTGATTCATACTGCAGACCCACAATAATACTTAAAATAGACAGAAGAAAGTGGATATACTGCATAATTTCTCACTTTTCAAGAGTGCCACCTCATTAGTCATTACAAACATGAACTTTACACAAATTAAAAGGTATAAACAATCACCTAAAAATGTGCACAATCACACAAATTACAAACATAAGGAAGTTGACTAAATAATGAACAATCACCTAAAAAGTGTGCATAAACACAGTGCAGGAGCAACATTTACATGAATGTGTTGCATCTTCATCCAACCTCTTGCAACCTATATTTAGCTTGTGCATGTATACAATCTACGAAGTAGAGACATAAGACAGTTGAACCTTAATTGATGTAGTCTGTAGACTAAAATAGAGAGAGGAGCCGAAAACATCGAGGTCCTCATGGAATGCTGCAGCAAGAACAAAATCGCACCAGCTCGAAGGAGAGAGGGCCTGACACCAGCGGGGCATGCCGTCGCCAAGCAGCTACGGGCCCCAGCACGTCACATCCAACACACCACTGAAGAAGGCCACTACCTCCTTTCCTGGATCAAAGGCGCCACACCATCGATGGATGGGGCAGATGCCGCCAGAAAATGCTGACGTAGAGAGGGTCAGTGCATCCCCGCCGAGCCGCCAGAGACTCTCCTTGAGCAGAACATCACCGCTGCACACATCTGTGCCGCCGCCATCGTGCTATTGTAGAACATATGGTGAGAGGCGAGCGAATGGAGGAGTAACAACTGGGCATGATATGAGAAGAGGATCTCCCTAAGATGGTTGTACCCGCTCCCGCTGCCCTACATATGCACCCGCCACCACTGCCCTACATCTGTGCCGCCGCCGCGCAAGAGGCACAGGGAATGAGTTATAGATGTGCCAACCACATTTAACAGAATTTGTGCAGCACTAACCTGCCTTGGCTCAATGCCAATGTGCTTCAGCATATCAAAAGTATAGATGTAGGGATCATCCTTGTACTCTGCAAAAACAAGGGCAAAATCATATGAGCTTTGATGTTCCCCTGTATTGAGCAGAAGAGATAAATGAAAAGAAGTATGAATGTAAGTAGTGGGCAAGCTGAGGTTACCTGGGCTGAATGTCGATCAAAGCCGCCTTCCATTTTCCCTTCAGGTTCCTAATTTTCTGACTACACAAAAATCCCATGTCAGAAGTTGCAATACCAATGCACATTGATGCTTGTATAGAAAATTTGACTATCTAATCTTACTGTCGCAGAAGTACCTTTTGCATCCATCGTCTCTTGTACTCAGGGTACGTACATACGGCATTTGGGCAATGGAATTTGAAGTAACTGCTTGCTCACAATTGACGACATTGTTGGGCATTGAGTTAACTGAATCGCACAAACTACTTTCAATCCTTTCTCAAAAGCCAAAATCAAGGAGACCAGAAGATAGAAAAATAGAGAAACTTACCATTGAGATAGAGGTTGAGCCAGGCAGTCCTTCACGCAGTCAGCAGGCAGAAGTGTCGTTGTCGGGACAGTTCGCACCCCAGCATCTTTCCCAATTAAAGTGGAAGAAACCATAAATCGGTTATCAAATCACCATGAAGTGGAAATATGGTTATTAAAAACTTATTTCGCAAATAAAATCGCTTGATTGATTCTCCTCTAATGAATTAACATTCATCTTGGCGCCTTCTAAAACAGGTCGTGATAGAAACACAAAGCACAAACCAAGCACATCGGTTTGTGTTCCATACTCATTCTAAATAATTGGAAGCTTCTACATAATCCAAAAATGCACTACATAGATATTATACCGGCATCCACCATCCTCTTAAAGGGGCATATATTATGCTGGCTTGGTTTGCTACAATTTTATCTGTAAGGGGTAACATTGTTTACATGTAACATCCAAATTGCATTGTCGTACAAATTATAGAAGAACCTAATGCTTATGTACTTACAATTTGATGGGCATCCAGCTATAAGACCAACCATTAACATCACTCCTTAAGATCCTCAATCTGAATAATCTTGCCTATTTATTTTTAATGGAGGATGCTCAGGACTGTTACATAATGTAAAATATGATTTCTTAAGCTATATAGTTTCTGCAGATAAAAAAAGAACCAAGACAATAAATCATTTGGTTATGTTACTGTTTCTTCAATGAAACTTTTTTTAGTGGAATCATACAGGGTGAGACACAAAGGTAATTTGAGTCAAATCCAGCAGCCATGTATATATAAAAAATGCGTGTAAATTTTAGACTTTGTGGATAAAAGTGAGTCAAATCCAGCAGGCCAGCACCCATGTATAAAAAATCGTACGAATTTTTTACTCTGTGGATAAAAGAATTGCAATATTAATAGTACAAAGAAAAAGTGAACTGCTACAAACTTGTCTGGGAGACAATGTCCCCAAGTCTTGAGACCTTTTCTTGCCTCGCTTGAAGAAGTACGGCTCGTTTAGGATTGGAAAGCAGCAGCTGCTGCATGTCCTTTGGGAGGACACAAAATGCTGCTTGGAGGTCTGTCTGCCTTCAGTTTCTGGCATGCTGCTATTGATTCAGCAGTACCTGTCCGTGAATTCTGGACGGCAGAAATTGGAAAATAAACATCAGGATATTTTCAACAAAGCATTGAGGTCAGCATAGGTATGTTGAACAAGCTACTGTCCAAGATATTCCTTTGGAAACATTTTAACATGCAAATTTTAAATATATATCACTAAACAATTGCAAGGCCCCTCATGTTGTAATGAACTGTATCATGGGGGGCGTTACAGTAAATCAAAATTCTTGAGGTTAGGCTATCGAAACTAATAATATAAGGTGAAAAATCTTCAACCGTCATGTGCATGCATCCCTCCCGTCTATCAAATACAGGAGAGAGAATGGTAGACTGGTATCAAACAACCCACCGAAGGATATTATCAAAGTGTCACATGACTTTTAACTGTTATAATGCTTTATTATCTATTACATCAAAATCCAATGCCATGACTACCGACTACCGAAGGCGCTTATTCACGGGTAAAGACAGAACAAAATCCCAGTGCAGTCATGTGCATGCATCCCTCCCGTCTATCAAATACAGGAGAGAGAATGGTAGACGGGTATCAAACAGCCCCCAAAGGATATTATTAAAGTGTCACATGACTTTTAACTGTTATAATGCTTTATTATCTATTACATCAAAATCCAATGCCATGACTACCGACTACCGAAGGCGCTTATTCGCAGGTAAAGACAGAACAAAATCCCAGTGCAGTCATGTTACGCTAAACTTCATAACTTTTAACACTCTATTCCATCACCACTCGGTTTGATTTCTTGCAAAAAAACATCAACAAACCAGTCACACAGAACATGTGGTTCATTCAACTAAAACAGTATTCATGTGCCAGAATAGTGCATACTCAAAATGATCAAATCCTAGTTAATCTGTAGTTCATCATAGACAAATTAATGTTTTATGGTGCAACATTCCTGTAAACTAATTAAATGGCAAACTCATAATAGAGTACAGATTGGTGTGCGCTACGAAGTAGGAGCCTAATTGGATTTTATTGTAGGAAATTGCATGAAGTATTAAGGGTGTGCGTCGGATTAAATGCAAGAAAACCAGTCATGTTCCTTTTAGTATATGTGGTAAGCCTCAGTGGTCTGAATCATTTTAGGAGAGCTGCTGAGGATTACAACATTTAGCCCTATGCTGCAGAAAAGTAAACTATGGAATCACTCAAATAATTATTATAACATATCATTACCGAACTTCCAAAGTTTAATTCCTAAAGTTCAATGTGTCATAAGATGAATGCATAATTCAGTCAAACCAAGGAAGTAAACTTCACCTTCCCATGGTTTTTGCTCAGATCAAAGAGCTCAAAATATAAGCAGTGGAAGCATTGGGCATTAGATCCACGAGAAGAGATGACATGACCTTCACCCCAGATCCTTAATGGCCAGCCTCAGCTCCTTGAGAAGGACGACCTAAAGCCTCCATCAACAATTCGACACCTGCACCATGACAGACAGTCAGGTCATAGGATTCAACTTGGGCAACGAATTCAAGGGATTTTTAGATCAAGCATTCCTAGGGGCCGCCATGGTTGTTGTACACGAGGAAGAGAAGTGTGGGAGGCGAGCCCCAACCCATCAAGGTCACGGCCACTTCCTAACACGCAACAGATTGCACTCCATGAGTTACACACTCATCTTCCTAACATGACGAACACCATCCGATCAACCTCGTTGCCCCAGGATCATGCAGCGCCGAGTTAGTTGATGCAGAGCGGGGTAGGACGGAGGCTACAAAAAGAATCCAGAAACATAAGAAGAGGTGGTACATCGTGAGGTACAAAATCAGCATGGGTGGGATCAAGGACGAACCAAAATAAACATGGGGGAGGGGTTGCACGAGGAGAAGAACATAGCATGAGCACCAGATCCGACGTCGGGATGGCCGTGGCCGGAGCAGGAGGCTCGGCCTACTCGCTGATGGCCAGATCCGTTGTGGTCATTCAAGGCGGCTTCCAGGTCGACCCCTCAGCCTGGCGGAGGCAATCCTCCATTTCCAGCTCCCCGCATCTACAGGGATTTACATGATGGTGAAGTCGCAGGCGGCGCCGCAAAGATGGTAGGACGCAGGCTACCTAGAGCGCGTGGGAGGAGGCTGGCGGCGAAGATGCGGGAGGTAGGGGGCTGGAGATCGCTCACCATGAGGCCTTGTTCGGTTCAGGAGTGTTTAATCCTCTGGTGGATTTAATCCTCTAGAGGATTGGGTGATCCCCCACCCTGCACCAAATCCCCTCGGGGAACACATACATCTCCACCGTGCAATCCATGTCAATTGTAATGCATTCGGTTAATCCCTTGC